ATTTAACAGATACTTAATATTTTTTAAATGAACAAATCAGAAATCACTAACATTTCACTGGTCTCCAAGGAGTTCATTGCCTCATAAGGTATCTATTTTCACTTAGCATCAAAGAGGTAAACCAATAACAAAAAATCCCTACCGCTTTTCTAATCTAACTAAAGATTAAATCTAATTAGAGACCAAAACCTACCGCTATGTATGTGTGTGAATATATATACATACATACATACATATATATACATATATATTTTAGTTTCAGGTGAACAAAGCAACTTAATAGTTAGACTTTTACATCCCTCACAAAGTGATAACCCCCCTCCCCCATGCAATGTATATTCTTAATTAGTGTGCCCTCAATTGAAAATAACATCTAAGAGTCACAGTCCAAGAAAATGAACCCATAATGGGACTTAATATTTTTTTAAGACTAACAAAATAAATACCTAACAGCTATATGCTATTCTTCCATATTAACCCACAAAACTCTCAGAGTATTTCCTGGAATCAGTCTATTTTAAATCCACTCTCCTATACTGTCTATTATACATTCAGATAGATATTTCTGAAGCTATAAAAGACCTTCAATCAGCAAAGAAAGATTATGCTCACTGTACTATAATTTCATAAAAGCAGATTAATACACTTTAGACAAATTTCCAACAATAAAACTGAAAAAAAGAGATTTTCTTTTTAATCAACATTAAATTCAATTTATTAGATTAACACTGGTTGAGATCTGACCATATTAATTACATTTTGCATATATGAACACTAACATATATTTGTAAAAGGCAATACAAATATTCATTTCACATTGTTCTTGTTCTTTTTTTTTTTTTTCCAGAAAGTCTAACAACCTTTTCTCCATGCCATTGCTAACTTGCTGTTTTTCCACAGATCTCTAATCTCTATTATCAGCAAGTCCTCAAAAATGTTTCTTTCAGAAAGTTCACTGTTAATTCTCCCAATACCTATCCTGCCCCTTTTGGTTTCCGTCTTGATTCCGTTGTTTCCCCACAAACCAATGAAATTAAAAGAAAACAAGATTTAATACTATGTTAAAGAGCAGTGGCTCTCAAACTTTAGCGTGCATCAAAATCACATGGAGGGATTGTTAAAACACAGATTACTGGGCCCCACCTCCAGAGTTTCTGATTCAGAAGGTCTGGGGTAGGGCCCATAAATCTGCATTGCTGAGAAGTTCCTACCTGCTGCTGCTGCTGCTGCTCCAAGGACTATCGTTTACAGAGGGGTCTAGATCTGCACTACCCATTATAGTAACAGTAGCCACACATGGCTATTTGCATTAATTAAAACTCAAGAAATTTAAAAATTCAGTTTCTTCGTTTCACTAGCCACAGTTTAAGTGCTCAATAGCCACATGTGGCTAGTGGCTACTGTATTGGACAGATATAAAAAAACATTTCCATCATCTCAGAAAGTTCTACTGAACAGCACTGTTCTAGATAACTGATTCATCATTCTTCTTAACATTTTAGTTCTTTCAACTTTACCAACCCTATGCAAAAAGCAACTATCATTATTTTCTGTCCCCAGGACAATTTTTACCTCCCAGGTATCTTCAGCAGGAAAGGCCATAATATTGCTAAAAACATAGGCTGCGGAGTCAGGTAGATTTTAGTTTAAATCCTGGCTCGGCCACTTGCTAACTTTGTGACCTTGGGTAAGAGATTTTACCCCATGGCCTAATGCTCTCCTCTTACAAAGGGATAATACTCATCTCTCAGGACTGGTATGAGAATTAAATGTGATGATGGATTTCAACTGCTCAGCACATGATGCCTGGTACATTCTAAATAGTCAATAAATAGAAGCTATTATTACCTGGCTCTCATTTTTCCTTTCCACTGCAGTCCCGGTTACCACCTTCAACACTAAAGCCCATACTGCTTCTTCACACTCGTACAATGTTCATCGACAACCCTTTGAAGAGTATGACTTAATAACTCTTCAAATATTTGCACCAAGCTTCTCCTGTACTCCACATTAGCCTCTCAGCAAACTGGGATTTAAAACAAAAAAATCTGCAACCATCCTCTCTTACTTCACCACCATGAGTTCAAACTTGGCATGTTTTCAAACTGACTAAAATCTCCCCTAGTTCTCAAAACTTTCTAAACCAGTTGCTTTATACCTACCTCCTCAGCAACTTTCAATCACATTACTGTTCTTACTTTACCAAGTCTATGCAGAGACATTTGACTCCTTATCCAGGCTTTGATTCATCATCGTCTATTTCTCTGCTGCCTTCATCATCACCTAGGCTGCCTGGACCCTTTTCATCTCCCATTGGCAACGCTAATCCTCACTTAATCACCCCTGGAGTTCCAAAGTCTCCAATATTGCTTCTGGGCAAGAACATTCTTGTAGGAAGACACTATGCCATGCAGGTCTATCTTATAGGAACTTACAAATATTTTATTAGCCTTTTAATAAGTCCCTTCCAGTTTCCAAAAGTTGATTGTAACCTTCTCCACACTCTTCAAGATCCTCATCTCACAATCTCCTCTGAGTCATCAGATTACCTCAACTTTCACTTTGTTGAGGACATCAAGGCCATTGAGCATCCCTCATCTTCTTCCCGTCTTCCTTCTTCATATCTGTCTTCCTAACGCCACACATTTTGGTCTTTATACTACAATAATTGAGCACTTACACTATACTACACTATAATAATTAAGCACTATTAATTGGCAAATATTGTTCTAAATGCTTTATGTGTAATTAACTCATTTAATTCTCACAAAAATCCTATAAATAGTTATTAAAACTATTTCATTTTTTGGGCCAGCTGAGTGGCTCATTAATTAAGAGTTGGCTTGGGAGCTTGAGCTCTGAGCAGCAGGGTCACTGGTTCAGATCCCACATGGGCCAGTAGTGCTGCGCCCTCTACAGCTAAGATGGGGAACATATTGTTCCAGGTAGCTTGACCTGGAGCTGGGCTGCAGTGTCGCCGGCGACGGCGTAGGCTGCATTGGGCTGCCATAAGCTACCATGAGTGGCTGGCAGTCAGTGTGAGCAGCCTGGCAGCTGGCGTGAGCTGGCGTGAGCCGCCGTGAGCGGCCATCCAATGGCAAGAGACCAATCTGCCTCAGCCAGGAAGAGCACAATGATCACAATACCAACATGGGCCAGTGAAGCGACATCCTCCACACTGAAGAACAAAAGGACAGCAATTTGTTTGCTCCTCTTCCCCGATTCCCCAACGTTGTTCCCTCCCCCAATTCCCCAATAAAATTAAAAAAAAAAAAAAGATTTCATTTTTCTAGATTAAGAAATTGAGGCATAGGGAGATCATATGATTTACCCATACAGTTAAAAGTGGCAGAGTCAGGCTACGAATCAGGCAGTCTGACTCCAGAGTCTGTACTTTCTAGACTAGACCACTATGCTCCATGGACCCCCATGATCTTGACTTTTCCTTCTAATCCCAGATAATCTCAGTATCACCCTTCAATCTGGACTGGGAATGGTGATCAGACAGGGTTAGTCAGCCTCAGCTATTATGTTTTAATTTTTTACAAGGAGAATATATTCAAGCATAATGTATGTAACAAAAAAATGTATAAAATGACTTAATACAAAACTAAAGTAATCAAAACTGTGGGACTGATATAAAGACAGACATTTAGATCAATGGAATAGAATAGAGTCCAAAAAAACCCCTCACATATATAATCAAATGATTTTTGACAAGCGTGCTATGACCATTCAATGAGAAATAGCCTTTTCAACAAATGGTGCTGGGAAAACTGGATATCCACATGCAAAAGAATGACCTGGACCTAATGCCATACACAAAACTTATCTAAAAATGAATCAAGACCTAAATTTAAGAGCTAAAACTATAAAACTCTTCAAGGAGTTTCTGTTTGGGGTGATGAAAAAGTTCTAGAGATGGATAAATACATTCATAATAAGATAAAGGTACTTAGTGCTACCAGAACCATACACTTAAAAATGGTTAAAATGGTAAATTTTATGTGTATTGTATTTTACCACAATAAAGAAATGTATAAAATAAATAAGTATATAAAATTGACCCCTCTGTGTTTATTGGTTTACTTACTTACATTGTTTATCTTCTTGACTATAAAAATATAAATAGGAGCTCCATGAAAACTAGGAATCTTGTCTGTTTTAATCCTGACTCTGTCTTCAGTTCTAGTACAGTACCTAGCACATATTAGTGTCATAATAAATGTGACAGCTTACATTAGTTTTTATTAAAGTTTATAAAGTATGTGGACTCTTACAAACTGCTTTTAATACTTTACCATAGTCACAACAATCTTATTAAGGAGATATTTTTTATTATGCTCTCCATTTCATAAATGAGAAACTGAGGCCTAGAGTGGTTAAGTGTCTTGCTCATGGTCATAACACTAAAGAGAATGAGGACAAGAATCCAAGTGTTCTAATTCCACTAAATCGTATTTGCTTTGTATAATGAATAAATATAAAAACACACTCCAATAAACTTTAATTAAAAAAAAATTCTAAAAACACCTATTTGTTCCAAAGAAATGAAGTTGACTGAGAAATGCTAAATGCCTCAGAAACCATTTTTCACATATTAGTAGTACATGGTCAGTAAGCCATAGGTTTCAGATACTCCTCCCAGTGATAAGGGGAGGATAAAAGACCAAAAAATACATTGTAAAATTCCTGAACAATCATGCTAGACATATTCTGTCTACTACCATTATTCTGGAGGCATCGCTTACACCAGATTACACAGACAGTGATCTACTCAAACTACTAACTAGAACCTTCTCACCCAGCAGTAAGAAGAAACCAATAGTGACCTGACACCCTATCAGTCAGGTGGCCCTTAGAGTGTAGAGATCATGTCTTCTACATCTCTGCAGACCTACCACTTAGGACAATGACTGCAGCATATTAGATAAGCAATACTGTTCGTTTAAGAATAGAGGAATGTGAAAAATGCAAAGATACCATCAGAGAGCATTTACCTTGGCCTCTTCCTGATCTTCCAGGGAAAACTCTGTCAATTCATCTGAAATCTCCTCTGCCCAATCTTCTCCTAGTTCTGGATTGTCATCCAATTTTGCAACAGTAGTGATGGGACTGCCCAGATATTTCATTTCACTTTCCACCAAGTTTCCATTGTCCTGTAAAGTATATTGACAATATTAAAAACTATCCAGGACCCTTGCCTTACACCATATACAAAAATTATCTCAAAATGAATCAAAGACCTAAATGTAAGAACTAAAACTATAGAACCCTTAGAAGAAAACACAGGGGGAAAGCTTCAAGACATTGGTTTTTTGGATATGACGCAAAAGCACAAGGAACAAAATAAAAAATGAACTTCATCAAAATTAAAAACTTTTGTGTATCGAAGAATACTATCCAGAAAGTGAAAAGGCGGGGTGGCTGGGTGACTCAGTTGGTTAGAGCGAGTGCTCTTAACAAGGTTGCTGGTTCAACTCCTGCATGGGACGGTGGTCTGCGCCGCTCCCCCCGACCCCGCAACTAGATTGAAAATGGCGACTGGACTTGGAGTTGAGCTGTGCCCTCCACAACTAAGATTAAAGGGCAACAACTTGACTTGGAGCTGATGGTCCTGGGAAAAACACACTGTTCCCCAATAAATTAAAAAAAGAAATGAGGGCCGGCCAAGTGGCTCAGTTGGTTAAGAGCTCGCTCAAGAGTTTGAGCTCTGGGCAGGCCAAGTGGCGCAATGGTTAAGAACTGGCTTGGGACACCAGAGGGCCCTGGTTCGGATCCCACATATGAGGGCCAGTGACACTGCCCTCAACAGCTAAGATGCTGAACAACAGCTCAACCTGGAGCTGGGTTGCCGTGAGTTGCTAGCGTCGGCAACGGCGACGGCGTAGGCTGCAGCCCCTGCTGCAGTGGGTTGCCATGGGCTACCGTGTGTAGCCAGCAGCCAGCGTGAGCGGCCCTCAAGCCTCCGTGAGCGGCCGTCCAGAAGCCGGCGACTGATCTGCCTCGAGAGGGGAAGAGTGCAATGATGGTGCCAACTTGGGCCAGTGAAGCAACGTCCTCCACAACTAGACTGAAGAGCAAAACGACAGCAACTTGTCTGTTCCCATCCCCCCAGTTCCCCAATAAAAATCTTAAAAAAAAAAAAAAAAAAGAGTTTGAGCTCTGAGCAACAGTAGTTCGAGTCCAGCCCGAGCTGAGCAGCCGCTGAGCTGCCAACAGGTAGCAGGATGGCTCAGCTAAAAAACAAACAAACAAACAAACAAAAACAAAAAAAATGAAAAGGCAACCTACAAAATGGGAGAAAATATTTGCAAATCATATATCTAATAAGGTATTAATATCCAAAATATATTTTAAAAAACTTCTACAACAACAGAAATAAATAGGACCTGAATAGAGATTTCTCCAAGAAGATATACAAATGGCCAATTAACACATGAAAAGATGCACACATAACTAGTGATTAGGGAAATGCAAATTAAAATGACAATGAGATACCACTTCATATCCATTAGGAGAGCTACTATTAAAAACAAAAAACAATAACCCAGACAATAATAAATGTTGGAAAAGACATGGAGAAATTGGAACCCTTGTGTATTGCTGTGGAAAATGTCAAATGGTGCAGCTGCTATGGATAATATTATGGCATTTCCCCCCAAAATTAAACACAGGATTGCCATATGATCCAGCAATTTCATTTCTGGGTATATACTCCAAAAATTTGAAAGCAGGGATTTGAACAGAGATTTGCATACCAATGTTCTTAGCAGCATTAATCATAATAGCCAAAAGGCAGAAACAACCCAAATGTCCACCAACATATTAATGGATAAGCAAAATGTGATTATACACACACACACACACACACACACTAGAATATTATTCAGCCATAAAAAGGAATGAGATTCTGATACATGTTACAACACAGATGAACACTGAAGACACTATGCTAAGTGAAATAAGCCAGTCACAAAAGGACAAATGTATATCATTCCATTTACACAAAGTACCTAGAGTAGTCAAATTCAGACAGAAAGTAGACTATAGGTTATCAGAGGCTGGGGGAAGGGAAGAATGCAGAGTTATTATTTAATGGGGAGAAAGGTTCAGTTTTGAATGATAAAAAAATTCTGAAAATCGATAGAGTGATGGTTGTACAACATTGTGAATGTACTTAATGCCACTGGATTGTACACTTAAAAATGGTTAAAATTGTAGATTTTATGTTATGTATATTTTACCACTTAAAAAAAAATACCACACACACATACAAAAAGGACTATCCAATAGTTTACCATGCTCCAAGTCTTCCCTTCTTCCATGAAATAAAAAATCTGAAACATGATCAATTGTATCTACCTAGGATGCAATATGTTAATTGATTTTTTTTTTTTTTTTTTAGCTGAGCCATCCTGCCACCTGTTGGCAGCTCAGCTCGGGCCGGGAATCGAACCACTGTTGCTCAGAGCTCACTCAAGAGTGCAAGCTCTTAACCAACTGAGCCACTCAGCTGACTAGGATGGGATATGTTAAAATGGCTTTCCCATAGGGTTGAGATTAGAATCCGATCTCTGGAGTTATGTTGAGTTCATGGTCTACTAGAAACAAATGAGTGCCTGGATAACTTAAGGCTCCAACAGTTAAATAAACAAAGGACACAATCATTCACTAGAGGAAATATACATGGCTAATATTCACATGGAATCACTACTAATTAGCTTTAATGTAAAATAAAACATTTTACCTATCTAATTAGCAATTTTTAAAAAACAAATAATTTATCCAAATGAGCTGTGAATTACTCATAAAAATGTAAATTTTTATAATTTTTTGAAAGGAATTTGGTAACATATATAAAAAAATCTTTAAAATGTTTATACCTTTTAACCCAGTACTTATAATTCTTGATACTAATCCTGAAGAAAAAAAATCTGAAATGTACTCAAAGATTTATGCTCAAGAACTTATATGATAGCATTATTTGTAAAAGCAAAATTTGGATTCCACTAAGTGTCCAATAATAGGGAAATACATATGTAAATTATGGCCTATTTATTAGATAAAAACATCCATTAAAAAATAATGTTTTTATTTGCAAAAGTCAAGACCTGGAAACAGCCTAAGTGTCCTTTGATGGGTGATTAGATAAAGATGTGGTACATACAATGGAATACTGCCCAGCCATAAAAAAGATGAAATATTGCCATTTGCACCAACATGGATGGATCTTGAGAGTATTTTGCTCAGTGAAATAAGTCAAACGGAAAAGGACAAGAAGGGTAGGAATACACTCAAATGTGGGATGTAAAACAGAAAGCAAGAAATGAACAAAACAAAACAAACAAAAAAACCAAACATAGATACAGACAATAGAATGGTTGTTACCAAAGGGTAAGGGGGGTGCGGGGAGAACAAAGAGGGCAAAGGGGGTCAAATACATGGTAATAGGAGACTAGACTTTGGGTGGTAAGCACATAATAGAGTATACAGGTGTTGTGTTATAAAGTTGTACACCTGAAACTTATATAATGTTATTAGGCAATGCTACCTCAATAAATTTAATAATAAAAAAAGTTTACTAAGAGTTTTAACTTAAAAAAATAGAATACAAAATTACAAATATATGACTTCAACTTTGTAAAATTGTACAACATAGTTAAAAGATTAAAAAGAAATTAGGTAAAATGTTAATAATGGGTTTTCTAAATGAGGTAGCGATTTTTTGTTTTTTAAGATTTTATTGGGGAATTGGGGAAGGGGACCAGCCAAGTTGTTGTCCTTCAGTATTAGTTGTGGAGGGCACAGCAAGTTCAGCTCCAAGTTCAGTCACGCCGCTCAGCTCAAGGTGCTGTGTTCAATTATTGGGTCGTCAGGAAAGTCATGACGCATTTTGCATTGAAAAACATAGAAAAAAATGTCATGATTTGCCTGACGAACCAATAGTTGCGGGTGGGTATGACCACCATCCCATGTGGGAGTTGAACCAGCAGCCTCATTTTTAAGAGCGCACGCTCTATCCCCTGGCGGCAGCTCAGCTCAAGATGCCGAGTTCAGTCTTAGTTGTGGGTGGGCATAGCCCACCATCTCTAACAGGCAACCTTATTGTTAGCTGCACGTGCTCTCACTAGCTGAGCCATTCCACCACCTGTTGGCAGCTCATCTCGGGCGCAGCTCACTGGCCCATGTGGGAATTGAACCGGCGAACCTGTTGCTCAGAGCTTGCACTCTTGAGCAAGCTCTTAACCAACTGAGCCACTCGGCCAGCCTGCGATTTTCTTTTTTATACGTTACTATATTTTAAAATCATTTTCACAATGGGCACATAGTACTTTTAAAATCAAGGGGAAAACACTTAAAGAATAAAGTAGAAAATTTGTAAAAGGCCTAAGAATTTTTTCTGCTCCTTAAATTTAAACAAATAAAAAGATCACAGGACAATACAACTCCTCCCTTTCCCTGCTCAAATATTATTTCTCCAACCCCTTTTCTCACTCAAACCAGCTTAGAAAAATCCAAAGGGTCATAAGTCCAGATCTGCATGCCTATACCCCACAACAACTCAGCTGACTCTTGATGATGATGCCCAGTGACTCACCAGGAGAGAAAGGGGAGACAAGTAAGGCCCCCCTGGTCTCTTTCGAAACTTCAGGTTCCTGGGTACCCACCATTTCAAGGGCTTCAAAGTGTTGTTTTCCTGCATAAGAAAAACTACTTGGCTAGAGGAAGAGAAGTGTCAGTGGGCCCCGCCAAAAACATTTCATCTGATGAAGCCTTGAATAACCCTCATGGAACACATTAAAAGTAATGAAGGTTGACCTTATATCCTAAAGATACAAATTATGGTTTGGAATTGATGTATGGTATGTAGACTTGCTTTGGAGGATACTAATTTTATGATCACAAGCCAAAGGAAGTGAGGAAAAAGGGAGCCTGACTGGGAAGGAGATGGTGAAACTTTTATAAAGTGAGTAAAGGGAGATGAGAACAACAGTACTAAATCAAGAGAAAAAACTAATTAGAACAGCTAAAACCAGAGGCATAACTTAGTGAATGTGAGAAAAGAAAAACAGCAGTTATCTTTTATGGATACTGACCTGGAGGAAAGGGTGGGAGACAGGGGAAAGAAAAAGATGGTTAGAAAAGGAGATTAGTTGAAGAGATTAGTTAGAGAATTATCTTAGTAATTAATTAGATAGTTCTGGAGAGGTCAGTTTCAATGTGGACCTGAAGGATGGTCTGAAGTTGAGATAAAAAAGGACCACGGCTTTCTCAAAATAGGGGCTAAAAAGCTAGATTAAGGAAGAAATAAGAAATTAAGAACTCTAGACTCGTACATGAAGCTATGCAAATATTCTGTGAACAAGTTATGTACATTATTCCTGTTTTGTTTTAAAAAGTCCTAAATTCCTTAGTCTACAGAGATTTCATAAGTATGACGACCTACTGTGGAAGACTTGGAGCTAGGTTTCCGTTCTAGGGTCAAACCTTAAAGAGAAACAACAAAACAAACAAACCAAAAAGAATTTTTTTACCTGTAGTGATACCGTTTGCTTGCCTAGCATACTGAGGCATAAACAGCTCTAAGACTCATGAGTTGCTGCACTCAGATGACGAAAACTGCTAATGTATCTAGGCTGCCATTAAACACTCACATTTTCCTTATTGGTGGATGAGCTACATATTGCATCTTTCTTCCTGTTGCTATGGTCCAAAGCATTTGGAGTGCTACAAAGCAGCTGTGCCTATAAGATACAAGAGATCCTTCTCTGAGAACATCCAGTATCCTCCAGCCACAGGTGAGCTGGAAACCCTCTGCCTCCCACCTGAGAAACATACCCAAACCCAAGAAAGAAGAGCTACTCACTGGGCTGCATTTTATGAGGTGATGATTCCTGCAGATAAAAAAAACCTGCCAGTCAGTTAAGCCCCAAATACTGTTTGGTTATTCATCTGTGGCTTGGGACATCCCAATTTTCCTTTCTTTCATTCTAGGAGCCCTATACCTAATTGATATGTCTCTTCCAATAACAATATGTAGGGTGCTCTCTGTGGTAAATATTAAGACATTAAGTGACATCCTGGGGATAAGGCCCTCATTTCACTTGCATAACCCCATATATAGATATCAAAGATAATGAGTTTGTCCTATGTCTTATGTAGACACCACTAACAATTTACGAAGTTCCCAGCATTGACTATTGGGAACTAATATTTATTTTTTCATGAATTTCTACGAACCCCCCCAGGAGTTCATCTAATCTACATGGGTTAGGACATTTTAAGCAATTCAAAGAAAATAAAAGCAACACAAAGTGAAATTTTCACATGTATTGATAAACGTCATGGAAAGCCTTCCCTAGTGCACTAAAATAACACCTAATTCACCTAAACATTGATGAATAAAGTTCTAAAAAGATTAAAACAGTCAAATAAAAAACACAATAAGTTTAAGAAGTCGAATTAAAATTATCTTTCATTCCTTGAGTATTCCTTGACTGAAGATTTTAAGATCTCCAACAAAGAATCCTCATGAGTAATAATAATAAACATAATAAAATGCTTGGCAGGTGCTAAAGATTAAATTTTCATTGGCTAAAGGATTAAATGAAAATTTAATCCTTACAATAGCTGTTTATAAGAAGTGTTATTATTATCCCCATTCTTATTGTTTCCTTATCATTAATAAAGAAACTGAGGAAAAGAATATTGCATTGCTTTGTACGCCTGAAACTAATAATAATAATAAAAAAAGATGTTCACCCAAAAAAAAAAAAAGAAACTGAGGGCCAGTGAAGTAAAGAAACTTGTCAGAGTCACAGTTGGTGAAGTACTAAGCCACTGGAATCCAGACACTGTGATTTCAGAGCCTACACTCAGCACTTTTAACCACTAAGACACAGCACTACTCTCACGCATGTAACAGCCTATGGCTAAGTGCAGTGTACCATTTTCCTCCATTTTTAAAGATAACACTGATTCTGTGTGATGGTTAAAATGAATAGCCTTCATTTTCACAACACTATTTATCTCTGGGAAACTTAAAAACCTTTCAAGGGAAAGACCTAGGCCTCCAAGCCCATTATACCCAAAGTGAAATGTTCTATACTCTGCCAAGTTTGCATAGGATAAAATCCCCCTGCCAGTGCTAAAAAGACTTTAAGCATGAGGTTCATTCAGCAAAAGAACTTACATCTGAGCTAACTGCATTTCCTGAGGTCCTGAAGAATCCAAGTGACCTGCAATCAGATATGAAGTTATTCTTGTCCATGCATCCTGTCTTTCCTTCTGATTTTCTTCATTACCAGTAAGCCATATTCATTTCAAAAACTGACCTTTCTAACACAAAGGCTTTTGATTGCTATTAATTTCATGGCACAAGGTATAAGTTAGTAGAATCTTAGGAATTTATATGTGTCGCTAAAAGAAAAAATGCTGGGAAACTGTACTGACTTACAGATTTTTTTTTTAATGAATAGAAAAGCATGCTTACAACTCAGGAAATCTGAAATTAGAACAAATACTAAAATGGTTGACTAGTAAAAAAATTCCTTTAGGGCTCAGACCCTATAAAACCACAAGAATTAGTTGACAAAGTATTTATGTTGGTTTCTTTGCCTCTGCTGAGATTAGATGAGGGTATAAAACTTCTCAACTATTGCTTTCATTCCTATCAATCAGTGAATTTCAATTCATATCATCAATCAGTAAACACAATATTCCTTTCTGTTCTAATTTTTCAAATGCAAAGTGACTCCTATTAATGTTATTATCTTTCTCTTCCCTTGGGCTTGATCATTTTCCTCAAAAATCTTATAGGTACCCGCAGACTTCCAACTTCAAGGCTCTCTACTTACTTTTGTCACCTTCCATCTATATCCTACTACCCTGTCCTCTTCCTTAAAAGTTATTCTTTCCCTTGAAGGCTTGACCGTCCTTCTCCCTACCAGTTTCATCAAGGTCTGCAGGAGTGGTAAACTGAGTGGCAGACATCTCCCCGCTGCTAAGATTCGAAAGATCAAGGCAACATTTAGGGGTTCTTCTGTTGAGACATAATAGTACATCAATTCCCATTAGAATGTAATATCCTTAAAAGGCAAAAATCATGTTATCCTCGTCATTTGAAACACCCCTCAATGACTCTCATAATCTGAACAGAGTATAAATAAATCTAATTGCTTTTGGAAATACTTCAGACTACACTGAGAAAAATCTCCCACCTTTTCTCTACTGCAATAATCTGTATCTCATTTTCTCCTCACCAACATATTGAAACAGTATAATTTTTTTTAAATTGAAGACCAAAGTTTATTAACAGAGGTGGGTATTGACCCCACATCTTCTGTCCTATGCACCATAAGCACACAGATTTGATTTCTCCCTGGAGTCTTCAGTACTTCCCAGGTCTATAACTCCCCAATTTTGTTTGCTAGATGAGAATCAGGATATGGCATGATCGGAATTTAAAGTATAATAACAATAACACTAATATTAATACTGATAAAGGGAACAAACAACTCGTACAATGCAATAGAGTTTTCAAGGACTTTTCCCAGACATCACATCATTTGATTCACACAAGATCCTAGTAAGATAGGAAGAGATTATAATTTCTATGTCACAGAAAAGAAGCCGGAGAGTCCAAAGGGTCACACAGTTAGTCAAGGGCAGAGCTAAGACTTAAACCCTGATCTTTGAGCCAGAATAATGTTATTAAAAACTCATTAACTGTTTAGAAAAGCAAAGGAGAGAGGGTGTAAAAAGTAGATTTACCTAGACAAAATGCTTAGGTTTGCAGAATCACCAAAAACTTTGTCCACTGGAGTTCTAGGAAGATCTGCAGTGATGGTAAAGGAAGTGTCTTTCTCCAGGAGCTGGTTTAATATCTTCCTCTGATGGGATCTAAAACTGGGTCCTGACTCAGGACTTCCGTCTTCGCTTGTGGATGAAAAGAGTTGTGCAGACATGGTCTCCGAGTACTCGCTAAGAAAAAAATAAAATCCAGCTAAGAGGAGGACGTCATCTATACAGATACATCACAGATCGTCCAGCTTTCATAACCTTGCCAGCAGCGGCCAAGCGGTCAGTATTTGGAGGAGGGGGATCCCCAAACGGTGACAAAACTTGGCTTGAAGGTTAACTGGCCTGAAGCGGCTTGGCCTTTTCATAGGAACCGGAACTTAACGAGAGGTAACCCCAGGACTTTAAAGAGGAAATGAAAAGGGCACTTTGTCTTGTTCGGGGCGACACAGCTCATGACTCCTGACCGGAAAAAAACTCAGGTTTCCTAACTCGCGATAATGCCAGTTGGGTCCCCTGAACTTCCGTTTGTGGGGCCCCGACGGGGCTCTGAGGTGACAATGGGTTGATTCCGGCGCAGACAGCTCCGGGCTTACCTCAGGTTTGAGTCTGAGATTTACCTTCAGCAGGAAGAGAAGTGGATGTAGATGGGGGTCAGCCACAAGCGAAGACCAGAGCAGAATTAACGGTAATCTGGGGAAAGGTGGCAATTAACCAGACTACAATTCTGCTTTCTGACTGGGTAGACGGGGGTCAGACTTTGACGCTTTTATCCTCAGAGGGTCGAAGTTATAGCCTCGTAGCAAGAATATAAACAGTCACAGGCCTTGACTATTCAAACCTTCCGCCCTCCCAATAGCCTATCCCGTTCGCCTCTGAGCTGCGTCAGCCAATCTCCGCACGCACGCCCAGAACCCCGTCGGCCAATCGTTTGGCTCGCACATCAACCGGAGGCGTGAACTTGCGCTGGACAGAACACAATTTGCCCCGCCTCACAGCCAGAGCAGGATGCCGATTGGCCCACTAGCGATCGGCAAGGGACTTAGTAAGTCCCGCCCCACACGGAGCCTGGCGCACCATTGGCTCTGCCTCTGGCCAATCGCCACACCCATCTTGAGCTCTCCCTTTGCTCAGCCCCTTCGACCCCGGGAGATTTAAATTGCATCTTGCTCCGCGGTCCACTCGTTAGGTTAATACTTGAAGAAATTAGTTTCGATAGGAGGTGTTTTAAGCGTTTCTTTTTCTTTGGTTCTTTCTTGTGTTGTCCCATGGACCTTTCCCTCTTAGTTTGCTAGCCTTCCGCTGGAAATGGAGCATTTGCCGCCGCTGTGGCAGATGTGGCGAGACAGGTGTGTGTGTATTTATGCTAAACGGCATTGGTCCCTTTCAAGTTTCCTTGTTGGGTGTTCCTTTTAGCGCCCAGCATCTCTGCGATGCTAGGCTATGTGAGTAAAGGAAATTCCTTTTCACGGAAAGCAGGGGAGTTGAACCATCTCTTGGCAATCCTCATCACAGTGCAAAGAATCCCAAACTTTGGTTGTTTATGGAAATTTGAACATTGGCTAGGTGATATTAAGAATTTATTCTTAATTTGGGGTATTTGCTTTTAAATAATCCTGTGGTCATGGTGGGTGGTGGGTATAAATGAAACAAGACTGGCTATAATAATTGGTTAATGGAGAGTGGGGGGTCCATTATGTCAGTTCTCTCAAAGTTTAGGCTGCATACTAATCACCTGGGGGATTTTGTTAAAATGCAGATTGTGATTCAGTAGGTCTGGGTTGGGGCCCAAGATTCTTTACATCTAACAAGCTCTCAGCTGGTGCTGATGCAGCTGCTACATGGACCATACTTTGAGTAGCAAAATATTATGCTATTCTCTTTACTTCTCTGTATGTTTGAAATTTTCCATAATAAAAAAATGTTTAAAATAATCTTGGGAGAGCTTTAAAATACAGGCCTCCAAAATGATGATTCAATAGGTCTAGAGTGGGGCCCAGGAATTATCAAGGTCCTGGGGGGCTACCCATGCAGATGGCTTGCAGACCACACTTTGAGAAACAAATCAGAAATGTAACCTTTACCTTTGAGAAACAGTAAATCAGAAATACAACTTCCTTTTTTTTTAAAGATTTTTATTGGGGAATTGGGGGAGGGGAACAGACAAGTTGCTGTCCTTTTGTTCTTCAGTCTAGTTGTGGAGGACACCGCTTTACTGGCTCATGTTGGTATTATCATTGCGCTCTTCCCAGGTGAGGCAGTCACTCGCCAGTCATTGGACAGCCGCTCATAGCGGCTCAGGACAGCTCACCATAGCTGACGCCCGATGCTGGCCAGCCCCACTGCAGCCTATGCTGTCCCCGGTGACTCTAGGCAGCCCAGCTCCAGATCAAGCTGTTCACCATCTTAGCTGTACAGGGCGCAGCATCACCGGCCCTCATATGTAGGATCCGAACCTAGGCCCTGCTTGCTCAGAGCTGGCTTTCCAAGCCAACTCCTAACCAACACCCCACTTGGCCGGCCCCAGAAATACAACCTTTATCTGGTATCAGGGTCTTGGTGGTTGGTGGTAGTGGCTGAGAGGTGCAGTGTAGTCAGCTGGATTTTGTCCTAACACAGATTCATCTGTAGAATCTGCCTCCCCAGGAAGGAGGTGTGTGAAGAGTCTTTGTCGTCTAGGATAGAGATGGTGAGTGTGGGAGTCAGCACAGAGCCCTACCATGCCAGGTGAGTGAAAATTAGGCTGGGGATTAAGGGAGGGTGGGATGAGTTGGTTTCTGCTTTGATAACTATAATCACACTTCATGGAGCCACTATATACTTCTCTGCAGGTGGGAGGTAGAGACAGATGAAATTGTCCTACAGCGGCGGCAAAAGCAGATAGATTATGGCAAGTGTACGCCTGGCTACCAGTGCTTTCTGCAGCAGGTCCCCAAGTGAGTGCCGTTGTGCATAGTCACAATAAGAGTGTCAATCAAGTGGCTTTGGTTCAATGTCAGGTGATGGAAAGATACTAGAGTCTGAGTGCTCTCACAAAGTTGCAGCATTACTAAAATGAATTCTCCTGCAATGTAGCCTCCAAATTAAGTTTCTAAGATTTTTTTCAAATGGAACAAGTCATACTTGGCACGAAGACTTTTTTTTAAAGTCTATCTTTAAAAAAAAAACTATCCACGTTTGCTAATGAATATTTTTTCTTTTCAACCATTTTACCTCATGCCTCCAGCTGATTGGCCAATTGCAACATACTTGCCCAATTACATGTAAATTTACATGCATACATACAAACTAAATGTATGAAAAGGTAGAATGTATTTGAACAGGATGTTAAATACTGTCCTTTATATCTATCTTGACTTCTGAGGGAATTGAAATATCTAATTTACCATTTCCAGGAGAAAGAATATTAGGGAGTTAAGACGGTGATGTTTAATCTGATTTGAAGGTTTATTTTTTTCTGTTGGATCAAGGGAATTGATCATACCTTATTCTCAGAGACTCCTTAACGAGTCTCCTGTTTCACTGTGATAAGCAGTGAGCCGTGCCCCTTCACCTTGACCTCATTCTGACACATTTGTCATTGCCAGGACACAGCGACAGCCAGGACTTCACCCTCAAACACCAAACAAAAACAGGAGGTACAGCCGCCGCTCCTGGGATGCCCAGATCAGGCAGTGGAGAAGAGCCCTACATTCCTGGGATCCCCCCAGCCAGCCTTTGCAGGGCAGGGGGTCTAAGGGGTGTGTGCACTATTCTTGGCTCCTTTCTTGAGTGGTGGACTGAGTCCTACCTCTTTCCGACTTTGCAGAAATTTAGCTTTCACTGGCTGTAAAAGGAGAGTCTGAATGAGGTGTATGTTTCTCTGACTCTGCTGCCTTCCCAGGCAGGGAATGGAGAGTCTCTTAGAGCCAATGGATTCATCCCCTTTGAATAACCTCCTGGATGACTGGCTCCAACCCCTGGAGACCTCAGAGAATCTGGATGGAGACCAGAGGGAGCCCAGGTAGTATCCTCTGCTGAAATCCATTAAAGCAGGGTCAGGGATGAGGTCTGGTCCATGAGGTCACAATTAAGATAGGCTTCAAGGTAGTAGTCCAAGAACAAAAGGAAAATGGGGCAGCAGGAAAAAATAGCATGGCATGAATAAAAAACTTGAGAAAAGTGACATAAGTAGATTTAATTATAGATAGCAATGGGGGGGAGTTGGGCTGCACTGGGGGCTATTTTATACTTGATGAAAGATGTGTAAGTTTCCTTTGAAATGAGGCCTGAAACTTGACTTGCAGGGTTTGTTATTTTTTAACTATCTCAATTTCTTTCAACGTTTTGCAACTGAGCCAGTGCTAACTTCTTATACTCAATCGTTTAAGTTTAGTAAGTATGGTTACTAATAATAAAAAGGGGGATCACCTAGTGGTGAAGACCAAGGGCTTTAGAGCCTCAGATTGCTTTTTTAAAAAATACTACCTTTGTCCACCATATGGGCAGTCACTTAAACTCTACAGTCATTTCATCTGTCAAATAAGGAGATTTTTGTCTCATTTGACGATTGTAAGCAAAAATGAGCATGCATATTTAAAGTGCCTGGCACATAATAAGTGCTTTACAATAGCAATTATTGGAAACCATGTCTCCGGTAACTTCATGGCCCCTACCCCTGCTCCTTCTTTTGCCAAGGGGAAATGTGCAGGCAAGGAAATGTGAATGAAGTACATCTTCCCTTCATCTCCATTTTCTTAAGCATCTCACTTTCCCTCTTCTTTTCCAGTTTGCAGACTTGCTGGCTCCTGCCTCCTCCCTTCCCTGGCTGTGAAGAAGATTCCCACCACTGGTTCTACTTTCTAGCTGATCACAGTTATTTATCTGTCCCAGACTTGAATGGGGCACAGAATATTTAAGGAAAACAGATGTCTTTCAGGGGCCCTGTTGCTAAGTGTAATAGTGAGGGTTTATTTGCAATACTGCTACTTTCCAATCGATTAAAAAAGAAATCTAAAATCCTGCCCTACAAAGCGATCACAGCACCAAGGCATTGTTTAAAACCTCTCCTTTTCCCATCTTTTTGCGTGTCTCTCTAAATCTTCTTTGATAGCTGAGACTCAAATTTACATAAGGACCAGAAGCCATTTAGCTGTTCCCCAACCTCTTCACCTACGAACGACTACATCTAGTCTCTTTAGAAAGAACTTAAACTTTGGCTGAGATGGGAGGTGGTGGCAATGGTGGAGATTTAATAAAAGGTGGTTTCCTCTTCCTGAAGAGGAAATATAGCAACATCAACATCTTTTCCCCATCTGCCTGTTTTCCTCTCTCCCTGTCTTAAGGAAAGTGGTCCAGCTGTAACCACCATACTCCCCCCACCCCCCACGCGAGCTACTGAACCGCCTATGATGTCATAATCACAATCCCATTACCTCATCCTGTTGGGAGGGGGTGGGTGCGTAGAGGGAGGAGAAGGAGTGAACAGCCCTGGGCCCTCCTCAGCTTTACTGTATTTTGGGTAAGGGCTAATTACAGAACTAAATGGGAACGGCCCCGCAACTGTTATAAATCCTGGATTTATAAGGTTTGAGCCGATCCGGCCACTAAAAGAGGGGCTCCTAGGACTCGGAACAGGCCCTAATCGGGGCTTGGACTACACTTCCCAGAATCCTTCACGTCGCGGACGGGTCCTCTGCTGGGGTAAGGGGGATTCCTTCAGAGAGGTGGCCCTAGAAAGCGGGACCGGAGAGCAGGTGAGAAGAACCTTGGCTAATTGTAGTACGCGTCCAGAAC